ATATAAATAAAATAATAAATTAATATAATATAAAGTTAACTTGTAGTAACTTATAGTAACTTAGAGTGAAGTTGATAAACGTAAAGTGAAGTTATGATATAAATATTATTTATATTATATAATATATATTAAATTTATTCTTATAGTTTATTATATAATTAAAATTATTCTACTTATATTGCACTTGCTCGATAATTTCCGAATGACACCAACGTGGTGCCATGCACCAGACGTCATAGTATTAATAACAAACTCTATAAAACCTTTTCTTTTGTATTTAAGTTAAGTTGTGTGTCTCCAATTTTCTTTACACTCATCCTAAAAGAATATTTCAACTGTTGACCAAATAAATAACAAATTATGGATAATTTAATTTCTAATTTTTGATCTCATCTTTTAAGTTAGAAATTCTCGAATTTCTTTGGATCTATTTGGACGAGTTCAATTACCTGTAGATAAGTAAAAAAAAAAAAAAAAATAACGATAGGTTATAAAGAGATCGTGGAAAATGGGAAAGGTGTAATCTAACGAATAGCAGAGAGGATCGTAGCTAGGGTAAAGATAAGGTGCGATAAGGGCCATCATAGACGACGATTATCGTTTATCGATTATATTTAGCAAAGGATTATTACTCGCTTGCTTTCTTCGTAATAGCTTGTACAATGTATTATAGTTACATGTATCTCTCTTTCTCTCTCTCTCTCTCTCTACACACAAGTACACACATTTACAAAAATACATATTCATAGATGCGTATGTATGTATGCATGCGTGTAACGAAAAATCGATATATTGATATGACACGACGAAACGAGTGTGTCGTTCCGTGATGCAAAAGTATGAGGAAGAGAGAGAGACGAAAAAAAATAAAAATAAAAAAGTAAATCGATAAAAATTTTCGTTGGTAAATGATAAAAAAAAAAAAAAATAGAAAGAAATAGAGAAAAACGCAAATCGTAGATTAATCGATCGATCGATCGATCGATCGTCACTGAGCTAGGTATCCATCCGGTGTGAAAATAAACGAGAGATTCCGGCTTGGCCCTGCGATAAAAATATTGTGCGATAATATTTAGAGAATGTTAGCGTCTGTTTGGGAAGCTTCTCCCATACTCGTTTCTCACATGCGTTCAACTAACGCCATGCTACGATTAACGTCATCGAGCTTTAGACTCTTTCCTCGATCCCATCCAAAGATATCTCTCTAACAGCTGTCCTATAAGTTTTCCAATTCTCTCGCTAAGTTTTTCATACCACAAGCCTTCACAATCTTTTTTTTATTTCTGTTTTTATTTTCATTTCCATTTGCTTTCTCTTGCTCATCCAATCCTTGTATTTATTTTATAAATGTTTTTTGTTTTTTTTCAACCATACAAATGATCTCTAACTTGATTGAAATTTCAAGAATATTTAACTGGGATTTAAAATAGTCCAAAAAACAAAAAAAGAAAAAAAGAAAAACCAATGTGTTATCCAATATCAACAAACTGATGGATCTTTTCGTGTCTCAATGCAATTAAACGAATTTCATTTCAAGTAAACTTAATTGCACTTAAGTACACATAGATTTAAAACTTTCAAAACTTTTCCATTTTAAAGTTACAGAAAATTTCAAATACCGAAATTAACCCTTTTGGGACACGTGTCCACTCTCAGCCATCACACAAGAAACCATGCTAATTTTCTTAATCTATATAAATTACGAGTCACGTTGTTTGTCCGCAATGGACTCCTAAATTATTAAACCGATTTTAATCAAATTTTGCACAATGTATGCAGTTTCATCCAACTTGAAAGATAGGATAGTTTATATCTCAATTTATAATCGCAATATTATTTTATTGCCAATTATTTGTTTATTAACAAAGAGTCATGATTATCTCTGTTAGTTCGATAAGATTCTAATTATTATATATATTATAATAATATTATATAATATAATTTTAATACAATTTATTAATATTATATATAATATATAATTTATTATTTAATTATAATTTTAATTATTAAAAAAAATAATTATAATTATTATAATAATATTATATAATAATTGTTAACATAAATATGTAAAAACTTTGTCCATATTTATGGGTAATTTCAAAATTTCGTTCTTCCAAAAGTCTTCTCAGGTTTTTCATAAAAAAAAAAAAGACTTGATGCTACCAACATTACGGACAACCCAATTTAGATTACACACATTTTTGCAATTGTATATTTCATATTATTATGAAAATATTCGATGTGTTATCAGATTGAAATCGGTGCTACACTTTGCACGATACTATCAATACGATAAGTGGATCTCTTTCTTTTTCTTAAAAGGTTTTGAAGAAGGTATAAGCGTAAACAAGCGCA